GATGCAGTTCGCGGCCTCGGCTGCCGCCATCTTCACCCGCACCTACTCCTCCTCCGGCTGCCGAGACCCCCCCCTTTCTCCGCACTCCCCCGGGACCGCTTTATACGGGAGGGTCCACGACCCGCCTACCGCAGCCCCGCCAAGAGATTTTATTGGTACTGGAGGCGGCCCGTCTGCGAGTACACGCGTGGCATTGGGTGTTGAAATTGCCAGTCAAAGCACATATGCCCGCCTAGTCTGGTGTGCAACGCCCCGCCCCCTCAAGTCGGCTAGGACGGGAAAGCCTACCCGTCTATCGCAAAAAGGGCGACTAATAATTGGACAAAGTCAACCAGGGGGTCCCGCCCCTTCCTTCCAGGCCCCGCCCCCTTGCTTCCCGGCGGGCCCCGCGCTGAGCGGACATCTTTAAACAGAGCTGTCCATCAGGAAAACCACCCGCCTCCTCATTCCTGCTATTGGGTGATCCGGGGATGACGTCACAGGGCTTGAGGCCTGCCCTAATCAAAAGCCTTGCCTCAAAAGGAACGCACTTATTGGGTCGCCCGGGGCGTTTCACGCTCTAGTGATAGGCTGATGGGCGTTGTCACTCATCCTCCATTCGGAGGATTCTCCAGGCCGTAGGGCTTGGGGGAGGAACGAAGGAGCTTGTTCCCATTTATTCGAGGGTGAAAAAAGAAACGAAGACTGAGAGGCTCAGAGAGGAGGGCACGTCCAGAGAAGCAGAACAGTTCAAGAATGGGACTCGGGACCGGAGCGATCAGTGGAGAAGGCTCTCGCCTACCCTTTCTGCCCCCGCCATCCCCTGAACACTGCCAGGATTTATCCCTGAACCCCGCAGGGTGTGGCCCATCCTCCAAATAAGACAAGAATAAGACTCAGGCTTCAAGTCGTTTAACGCTGTTGCAGGCAGCTAGATGGGGAAGCCTGGTAATGTATATTGGGGGGGAAGCGAATCTACACCAACCCAAAGGCATGAAGTCATTAGAGACACAGGACCCAATCAGAGGAGACCAGAAAAACAACGAAATGCAGAATTCCAGGCCCAGAGGCTGGCGGGACCCCCTAGGAGTTGAGGCTCCCGTTAGGAACAAAGGCCATCAACTGCTCCAATGGTCCCCCTGGCAACCACCCTGGCAACAGACTTTGGGGGCAATTTGGCCAAACTTGGCAGAAGAGACAGTGCTGTTTGCCTTCATCTCTACCTGAGATGTATGTTTCTTTGACCTTGGGGCCATTCTGTACCCATCCCCGTCAGCTGTCTTTAGGGGAAACAGCCCGCTTCTGCCCAAAACCTCTATACTAAGCTTTTTGCTTTTTCATATGGAGAAACCCATGTTCTCTCTTGCATGTGCATTTCTTCTCTCTCTCCCTTCATTTCCTGAATAAACTTGTATTATTTCCCTATTTGTCTCCTCTCCAATCGTTTTTTGTGAGGCAAGGTTAGCACCAGCAAAAGTCTGGATAGGATTTAAAATTTCAGTTCCTGGCTCCCCGGCTCCTGCAGAAATGTGCTTTTGTTTATTTATTAGTTATTTTGGGTCACCGCCCAGACAATGCCCGTCTGGGTCTGGGTCCCTCCACCAGGGAGGAAGCACGGGCACAGCGGTAGGGCGTTTGCCTTGCACGTAGCCAACATGGCCCGCCCGAGTTCGATTCCTCCGCCCCTCTCGGAGAGCCCGGCAAGCTACCGAGAGTATCTCGCCCTCACGGCAGGGCCTGGCAAGCTACCCTTGATGTATTCGATAAGTTAAACACAGTAACAACAAAGTCTCCAATGGAGATGTTACTGGGCCCGCTCAAGCAAATTGATGAACAACGGGAGGACAGTGACAGTGACAGATTTTGGGTCACACCTGGCAATACTCAGATTATTCCTGGCTCTGAACTCAGGAATTACTCCTGGTGGTGCTCAGGGGACCATATGGGATGCCAGGGATCCAACCCTGGTTGGCTATGTGCAAGGCATTGCCCTACTCACTGTACCATGTCTCCTGGCCCAAAACCCAGGTACTTTTTTTTTTTTTTTTTGGCTATTGAATCCAGGCCAGCCATGAGAAAGGCCAACTCCCTACCCGTTGTACTCTGGTCCCTGTTCCAACTTTTTATTTATTTATTTTGCTTTTTGGGTCACATCCGGCAATGCACAAGGGTTACTCCTGGCTCTACACTCAGGAATTACCCCTGGCAGTGCTCAGGGGACCATATGGGATGCTGGGAATCGAACCCGGGTTGGCCATGTGCAAGGCAAACGCCCTACCCGCTGTGCTATTGCTCCGGCCACATGTTCCAACTTTTTAAAGCCCAGAAATCCCACTAAGGGGCCAGAGCTGTAGTACAGCAGGGAGTATGTTTGCCTTGCACGTGGCTGACCCAGGTTCGATCCCCAGCATCCCATATAGCCCCACACACTGCCAGGAATAAGCCCAGAGCATTGCCAGATAAACCCCTCCCCCAGATAAAAATTTATTCTTGAGTAAAGATGAATGGCAATTCGCTGGCTAATCTTTTTTTTTCTTTTTTGGGTCACACCGGCAATGCACAGGGGCTACTCCTGACTCATACACTCAGGAATTACTCCTGGCGGTGCTTGGGGGACCATATGGGATGCTGGGAATTGGAACCTGGGTCAGCGGCATGCAAGGCAAACGCCCTACGCCCTACCCATTGTGCTATCGCTCCAGTTCCTTGCTGGATAATCTTATCACCTAGACATTTCTTATCTCTGTCAGTCAATACCTACCCAAATTGGAGTGGGGATGATTTAAAGGTCTATAGAAGTCCTGGGCTCAATCCCTGGCACCTAAAGGTCCCTTTATACCCCCTGGAGTACGAACCATAGTGGTAGGGGCTCTGGAGAGCCCTCAAGTAAGCCTCTATGGTCAGCCAGGTTGTATTCCTAAACTCTGACCACAGCTGGATGTGGCTCTCAAAACCCACCAAAATCGTGTTTTCTTTTTTTGATTTTGGGGCCTTATCTCTGATGCTCAGGGGTTACTCCCGGCTCTGCACTCAGAAAATCACTCCTGGTGGTGCATGGGGGACCATGATGCTGGGAACCTGAGCCAGCGTGTGCAAGGATGGCACTTTACTCACTGTCCTCTCTCCAGCATTAATGTTTGGTTCTTTTTGTAATGCCAGGTTCAAGCCAGGCTTTCACATACATCCAAGGCTGTTCTGTTTGGGTTTTGAGCCAGACCCTGTGGTACTCAGGTTTAGCTCCTGGCTATGGGGTTGCGCCCAGGGACCCTGAGAGTACCAGTACCTGGCATCAGACTCAGGCCTTCCCTATACCACACTTGCATGCTTGCACTCAGCCCTCTCATTCTGTCTTTACCAGTTTTTTCTTTTGGGTTTTGGCCCATACCTGGGCCCCTGAGTCCCCTGCTCTGTCTTCTGTTTCTTTTTTATTGTTTTTTGGGCCACATCTAGTGGTGATCTGGTATCACTCCTGGTGGTGCTCAGGGGACCATATGTGGTGCTGGTTATCAAACCTGGGTCAGCTGTGTGCAATGCAAGTGCCTTACCCATTGTACTATTTCTCTGGCCCCAGTACCCACATCTGTATATTGTTTGAGTCCTTGGGTTCTTTGTTTGGGTCTTTGGGCCATCCCAGTGATGCTGGGAGCACCACAGTGCTCATGAGCAAGCCTAGGCCCCTTGTTGACTGAGCACATGCTCGGCCCCTTGAACTTTCTCTTTAGTCCTTGGAACTGGATTTGTGGATGGTTTCTTTTTTTGGGTGGGGGGGATGCATTCAGCAGTGCTAAGTGCTTACTCCTGCCTCAGGGTTCGCTCCTGGAAGGTTTCAAGAACTATCTGGGTGCAGATGATTAAACCTGGGTTGTTTGCATGGCAGAAGAGCTGTAAATCCCATGCTGTCTCTCTGGCCCCGAGGGCTGACTTCTGAGCCACACCTGGTGGCTTCTCCAGGCTCGTGCTTGGGGGATTGCTCCTGGCCATGCTCAGAGGCCGATGTGATGAAGGCAGTGAAAAACTGGGGTCAGCCTCTTGCAGGGCAAACACCTTGGCCCTTCCCTTTCAGCCTGCTTGTAGGGAAAGTTGGAAAGGTTTTTTTTGGGGGGGGGCTTTTTGGGTCATACCCGGCAATGCTCAGGGGTTATTCCTGGCTTTGCACTCAGGAATTACTCCTGGTGGTGCTTGGGGGACCATACAGGATGCTGGGAATCGAACCCGGGTCTGCTGCCTGTAAGGCAAATGCCCTACCCGCTGTGCTATCGCTCCAGCCCCTGGAAAGATTTATGACCCTCAAGCCAAGATTAGGCAGAAATAGATGGAACCACTGGGAAAACTGTAATTTTCTAACCTTATTAGAAATGTCCTCAATGGACTACAAACCCATCCAAAGCAATCTTTGGAGAACAAACCAATTGTTTCCTCTCTGAATTCATAAAATAAAGATTTCTTTATCTTTTTGTGTGTCTGGTATCCAGCAGCGTGGGGCTGGAGTGACAGTACAGCAGGGAGGACATTTGCCTTGCACACAGCAGACCTATTTCGATCCCTGGTATTCCACAGGTTCTCCCAAGCACTGCCAGGAGTAATTCCTGAGTACAGGGTCCAGATCATTGCAGGGCGTAACCCCAAACACACAATAATATCCAGCAGTGTTCAGGAGTTACTCCTGGCGTTGCTCAGGGGCTCCCATGAGGTACTGGGGCTGGAACCAGGTGAGCTGTGTGCAAGGCAAGTGCCTTGACCCTCTGAAACTGTTTTTTTTTTTTTCCTTTTTTGGGTCACACCGGCATTACACAGAGTTTACTCCTGGCTCTGTACTCAGGAATTACTTACTCCTGGCGGTGCTTAGGGGACCATATGGGATGCTGGGAATCAAACCCGGGTTGGCCGCGTACAAGGCAAATGCTCTACCCACTGTGCTATCACTCCAGGCCCGTCTCTGGAACTATCTTTTGGGTGAAGCGAATCTCCTTCTGATGGGACCATGAGATCAAAGAGATTGATGAAGACAACAATCCCAAATATATAAAAGTGTTTAATAAGAACCCCCCGCCCCCAGCGATTGTTGCTTTTTGGCTAAAACGGGGAGGGTGGTGCTGCTCCCCAGCCCTGAGAGGACCCCAGAGTCCCAACAGAGCACCTGAGGCAGGAACATGAGGTCCAACTTTGCTGCAGCTACTGCGGAAGCTCAGTCCAGGGGTAGGTTCAAGTCCACAGGGGAGACGGCCAGGATCCCCTCCTGCAGAGAGAGGGGGCACGGCCCTGTAAATGCAGACAGCCCGGCCCCTAGCCCTGCACCCCGCAGGAACAGACCAGCAAGGGAAGCAATCTGGCGGGAGAGGAGGACTTTTCTTTTTGGGTCACACCCAGCGATGCTCAGGGGTTACTCCTGGCTCTGCATTCAGGAATTACTCCAGGTGGTCGTCAGGGACCCTAATGGGATGCCGGGGATATAACCTGGGTCAGCTGCATGCCAGGCAATTGCCCTCCCCGCTGTCCTATTGCTCTGCTCTGAGGAGGAATTTCAAGGGGCCCAGAGCCTGTGGCATTAGCAGTAATGACCTCTTGGCCTGATTCTGAGCTCTCAGCCTCCCCAAGATGGGAAAACAATGAAATCCCTGAGGGGCAAGGAGTCACTGTGCTCATTCCACTAGACGTCAGGGCTAAGGACCTCCCCAGGCTTACCTGTGGCCATTTTTCTAAAGAATAAGAGGGGGTAGAGTGGGGCAGGATCTTGCCCTGCATGCAGCAGACGAGCAGTCTATTTCCAGCACCCCAGTGGGCCCCCTGCGCATCACTAGGAATGATCCCTGAGCACAGAGGCAGAAGGAAACTCTAAGTGTGGCTCATCACTCATGACCCATGAGCACACAGCCAAGAGTAACCCTGCACACTGCCAGGTGTGGCTCCAAAGGAAAAAGAAAAAGCACAGAAGACCCGAATACTGCCAAGCACAGTTCCCAAAGCTAAACAGAATGAAAGGCAAAATAAAAGAGGGCCAGGGGTCCAGCTCACGAATGGATCATTTACCTCGAATATCTGAGGACCTGGGATCATTCTCGGGCACCACAGTATCAATCAATCAATCCACCAATCGGGGGGTCAGAGAGTGCTTACAAAGGGGCAAGACACCCGCTTCAGTCAGTGAATCAGTTAATCAGTGGCTGAATAAAGAGCAGTGCTCCTACATTTAAAAAAAAAAAGAAAGGGGACCCAGAGACATAGGACAGTGGGGAGGGCATTTGCCTCGCATATGGTCAGCCCAGGTTCAGTTCTTGTCACCACATATGGTCCCCTGAGCACCTCCAGGAGTAATTCCTGAGTGCAGAGCCAGGAGTAACCTCTGAGCATCACCAGGTGTGACTCAAAAAGAAAAACCAAAACAAACAAAAAAAAAGAGTGGTCAAGAGCCTGAGCAGGTTTTGCATTCTGGATGCTCAGATTCTACCCCTGGCACCACACTCCTGAGTGCCACCACGGTGACCCTCAGCACAGAGCCAGAAGCAGTGCTGAACGCTGCCTGGTGTGGTTCCAAAACAAAGGAAAACGGTACGCATGAGGCCATGGGTTTGATCCCTGGTCACACACAGGGGCCAGGGCATGCACGAGGCCCCAATTCTGGCCACCCCTCTCTTCACTACAAAATAAAACATGGAGTTGGGGACACATATCAGCAGCAAAGCACAATACCAGTCAGTGAGCTGTGAGGCCTGATGCCAAACCCCATGCCACTTGCCCTCCCCCACACCCCCGGGGGCAGCCCTGGGTTAAAACCCTAAAGGTTAGGACCTGGAGCGTTAGTATGACATTGAGTAAGCGTTGAGCACGGCCAGGTGTTTCCCCACACACACAACAACGGTTAAAAAGTAATCTCGCAAGTAAATAAGCATTTTCGTTTTGCCCTGCTTTTAACTGCTGGGTTCCTGTCATCCTGGGGGAGGCTCTGTCCCTGTTCTCCTCATCCCCTGTCCCCACCATCAGATTTGGCCCCCAGCTGCTCAGGTCTGCACCGAGTCCTTGTAGTCCACTCAGTCGCCTTCACCATGGGAAGAGCAGCAAAAAATGACGAGCGCTGGGGTGAAGGGGGAACATGGAACGGGGCAGACCAGCAGGGAGGATGTTTTCACTACCCACAGTCCACCTGAAGGGGATCCCGACACCACACAGATCCCCTGAGCCCCATCAGGATCGATCCCCAGCACCACTGGCAGCGGCCGTCACTTATCAATGTGCCAGGAGTAGTCCCGCGTGCTCTGTTCCCACACCCTGAAACAACCAACCAACCAACCAACTCGACTGCATCGCAAAGCCAGAGTCCTTGACTTCAGTGCCTGCCCCGGCAGTGCACCTCATGTGGTCACTAGAGGGCGCCCGTGAGCCCTTAACTCTACTGTCATGTCAAAATCCCACTTCTGCCCAGCCTGCTTACTCTCTGGTCTTGCTAAAGCTGCCCCCATTCACCTCTGTGCAACCCTCCCCTCTCCTCTTTCCCAGCTCCACAAACACAGGACCCTACCCCCACTCCTGCCTGTCTGTGAAGCTGGGCGCCTGCTGCATGCCCTTCTCTTCTTCCTGGCCAGCAGGGGCATCAGTGAGTTAGAGCTCACTGGATGGGTGGAATAGGGGCAATTGCCAAGATCACACAGGTCAGGAACCTGGAGCCTGGACCCAGCCGCTACTGGACTGAAAAGGAGAGTGGCAAGGCAGGAGCCAAATTTACGGAGAGCACAGAGACACAGACCAAGCTCTACCATCTTGTTAGCGCTGCCTGAGAGGAAGATGCAGGTCCAGGAAAGTAGGTGAAGGGAAAGGGAGAGGGTATCTCTCTGCAGTGAATGAGGGACAAGGAAGGCTCTGCTGGGATGAGACCTTAGAGTGTGGGGTCAGAGGGAGCAGGGGCAGAGGCCAGGCCAACTGTCAGGGAAGCGGTTGATCCCAGGATAATCACAAGTGCTCACATCAAGGCCCAAGCACTCCAGTAAGGCTGCTTCCTGGTTAGGATCTGGGGGCCATACCAGGGGTGCTCAGAGAGACCCCTGGGGGTGCTTGGGGATCAGATGTGGTGCCAGGGGCTGAATCAGCTTGTTTGCAGACAAGTGCCTTACTTCCTGTTCTAGTTCTGATTTCATTTTGGGATCACACCCAAGCAGGGCTGGGGGCTTGCCTTGAGATCACTTCTGGTAGGATCCAGGGAACCATATAGGGTTCTGGGTATTAAACTTGGACGTTATGTGTAGGTGTATGCCCTAGCTGCTGTATTGTCTCTCTGGTCCCTGGAATTCTATTTTATAGAGGCTGTGCCCAGTTCTAGAGAACAGTAGGTGCTAGGGGGCCGGTCTTGATGTGTGGTCTGCCACTTGAGCCACATCCTTGGCCCCAAGGCTGATCCCATTTTATTATTTTTAGTTTTGGGGGCCATTCCTAGCAGAGCTTGGAGGACCATATGTGTTATTGGGGATTGAACCAGGGTCAGTTACATGCAAAGCAACTGCCTTATGTCCTATATTATCTCTCCAGCCCCTAATCTCATTTATACTCTCAGTAAGCCTTTGACAGAGATGCTTCCACTCTCCCCAATGGGTCAGCTGTGTGCAAGGCCCAGAGCCCTCCCCATTGTACTAGCATTTCAGGCCCTCAGGAATCACTCCAGACGGTGCTCAGGGGACGATATGAGATGCCAGGGATTGAACCCAGGTTGCTATGTGGAGGGCAAAAGCACTACTTGCTGTACTATCACTAGCACTACTTGCTGTACTATCACTCTGGCCTTCCCACAACCAGTTTTGGGAAGCTACACCTGGCTTGATTCTTGGGCAGTCATGAACCCGGGGCTTCATCCAGCATGCAAACCCTTCCGAACTGCCCCCGTGGCCCTGCTTCCATTCGTTTGGACTACACCAAGCGGTGCTCAATGTTTACCCCTGGTTTCGTGCTCTGGGATCACTCTTGGTAGTGCTTAGGGGATCACAGGTGGTGCTGGGGATCGAACCAGGGCAGGCCAGGTGCCTTCCCTGCTGTCCTGTCTCTCCCGCCCCTACTTCCAATCCTGAACTGAACTGTTAGTGTATCCCAGAGTAAAGTTTCACGGGTCACAGTCGCAGCGCCTGACTGCATGCGGCTCCGTGTCCCAGAAGCCATCCCTCCCCCTCCCTCATAATTCCAATTGCTTCAAGCCAATAGGTTTTGGCGCCTCACCCAGCCCCCGTGCGCCTGGATCCAGGGGGTGAAGCTGTGCACGTGCTCCACGCTGAGCCCCGCAAGGGTGCCCCCCAGCCAGGCCACGCGCCGGCTCAGCTCCATGGCCAGCGCCAGGCGGGCCAAAGGCTCCGGGGAAGGCGGTGGTGGCGCCGGGCACTGTGGCATGGAAGGACGACGCGCATGGCTGGGGCGAGGGCTGCCCTCCCGGCTGGAGAACAGTTCCACCAGGCGGGCAAAGGAGCCGGCGGAGAGGCGGGCCAGCTTGCGGCGCAGGGCTGGGTCCGAGGCCAGCTGTGGGGAAGGGAAAGGGAAAATAAGACTCTCAATCTTTTCCTGTCACCGGCAAGCCAGTAGGCGGCCTAGACCACGCCCCCGGCAGGCCCCCAGCCAATCATAAACCAAGCTATAGGCCTAGACCCGAGCTGCTATGCTGCGTCCCCTCCAAGGACAGCCAATGAGAGCTCAACTCTACGTAGCTAAATTTTGGAATGTTCATTTCTAGTCAACCTCAGGGGTGTACAACTGTGTCCTCTTTGTTTTGCTTTGCTTTAGGGCCACACCTGGAGGTCCTCAAGATTTTCTCTTGGCTCTGCACTCAGGAATTATTCCTGGCGGTGCTTGGGGGTCTATATGGGAGGACAGGGAATGAACCTAGGTCAGCTGCGTGCACGGCAAACACCTTTTCTCCGTACTATCGATATGTCCCTGGACTTCAGATTATTTTTTATTTTTTATTTTTTTGGACTTCAGATTTTTGACACTCCTCTCGAAGCCAAAGTTCCAAGGCCTGGGAAATTTTGCTCCAAGCTACAAAGTGAAACAGATTTTTTTTTTTCGTCACACCCGGCGATGATTAGGGGTGACTCCTGGTTCTGCACTTACGAATTACCCCTGGAAGTGCTCAAGGGACCATATGGGATGCTGGGAATTGAAAGTGGGTGGGCCGCGTGCAAGGCAAACGCCCTACCCGCTATGCTATCGCTCCAGTCCCTGGAACAGACCTTTTGGTTGATAACTTCAGCCTCTTCCTCCAGCAGAGCCACCAGCCTCCGAAGCAGCGCTTCCTTCTCTGTAGGTGGGGGACCTTGCAATTCTGGAAGGAGAGCAGAAATCCGCTAGAGGGGTCAAAACTCTGATAACCCTTCTCCCTCATCCTGCTCCAGGTGTCTGCCCCTCACCTGGGCTTGGTGGGGATTTTAGTTGTTCTTGGACCAGTTGTTCGAGCCGCTGTGCCACCAGAGCATAGAAATCCGGCGTATCTGGGCCTGGGTTGAAAAGAGGCACCGATGGTCTTCAGGACACCAGAACCACTTTGCCAGGTGGCACTGATTTCCATCAGAGTGGGCTCGTTGGCCAGTGAGGAAACTTGGCCAAAGACCGTCTACTTTTCCATTGTTTGTGTCCCCAAACTGGTCTGAACTTGGACATGATCTTTGAATGTGACCCCATCCGAGGATGCCAAACACCCACTAGCACCATCCAACTGAGTGGGCTTATGGCAGAATTGCTTCTTCTCCCTGCTTTGAAGCCCCTCCCAAGGCACCACCTCATGGAACCTTTGTCCAGCCTCCCAGGTGGCCGGAAACCTACTGGTCCCTTCCAGTTCTGCCTCATTCCTACTTTGCCACTGGAAAAACAGAGAAGCAGGGAGGGAATCGGTTCTTCCCAAGAGTGGGGGCTGAAAAGACAAAGAGTTATTATTGAAGGAGGGGTTCCCCAGTGAAGGGGGCAAAGGTGGTTAGAAAACTGTTAAGCAGGGGGTGAGACACAGAGAGAGAGAGACACAGAGATTACAGGGGTAGAGCCTTGGCATGTGGATGCTTGGGTCAGGGCCCTGGTTTGATCCCTAGCACTGCAAAGGGTCCCTAAAATACAGTCAGCATCACTTCCAAGCACAGAGGAAGGAAGGGCCCCTGTGCACTGCCTGGTATGACTCCAAACAAACAAAAACAAAGTTCCAGGGGCTGGAGATATAGTACTGTGTGGAGGGCCCTTGCCTTGCATGCAGTCGACTGGGCTTCAATTACCCCACATCCCATATGGTTCCTTGAGCACCAACAGTAGTTATTCCTGGGTACGAGGCCAGGAGTAACCCCTAAGCACTGCTGGATGTGCCCTGCCCCCCCCAACCCCCGCCCCTGCAAAAAAAATCCAAAACAAAACCACAAAACACTAAAATTCCAGATAAAGGACAGCATCTATGGCTTCTGGGATAACAGCTGGCAGTGCTCAGGGCTACTCTGAACTCTGTGCGTAGTCCTGGTGATGCGTGTGGGGATAAGGCAGGCGCCTCAACCTCTGTCCTATCTCTCTAGCCCCCAGAGAAGAAGGTATGGAACAAGATAGCATATAGAAAGGAGTACCATCCATTCCAAGTCAGCTTGAAGAATGAACAGACAGCAAGCTACAGGGAGGGAGCCTGTCTAGACTGCAAGAATCAAGGCTTCCGGTCACAGTGGTGGGGCAGGGGGAGCAGGTTGGGGTGGAATCACTTACTCGGCTCCTCTGAACCATAGCAGGGCCGGAGGGGCAGGGAGCTAGGCCGAGGGGACTCAGGGGGTACTGGCCCTCGGCTCAGGGGACACAGAAGACATCTTCGAAGGCGGCTCAGGAAGTCTGTTGGCTGCTCCTGGGTCGAGGTCCTGAGGAAGGGGACCTCAGAGAGTGACCCCCAGAGATCCCAGCGAACAGTCCCCTTTCCCTCCCCTCAGGGGCTCTCCCTGCAGCCCCGGAGAATAGGAATCCGAGCAGACAGAGAGGAGGAGAGACCAAGATTCAGTCGGCCACCAAAGGTAGCAGGATCCAGGGCAAGGCAGGCAACTGCGTCCTCTTACCTGGCTAGGGTGGGCACCGAGCTCCCTGCAGCCTCACCCCGCCTAAGGAAGGCAGCCAGGACTCTCAGTGTGTCCTCTCGGAGCCCCAGCTCTTCCGAGCGTGCCATGGAGGCACCTGCAGGAGACACAGCTGGGGTTGGCAGGAGAGTCAGGACCTGCATCTCCTAAGTCAGGATCCCCCGAGTCGTCAAGGGCGGAAGGGTGTGAGGATCTGGATTCTATGTCCATCAGCATAGGTGGGACCTGGGGTCCCAGATTCCTGAGTCCTCATAGAGAGAACTGAGATAAGAAGCAGGATCCATTGAATTTGGAAGAGGAGCGGGGAGGCAGATTCTAGGGCCTAAGGGAGGCCGGGGCGGAGAGCCTTAACTCCACAGGGAGTTGGGAACCCCCGGGTTCCTTGACAGAGAAGAGGGACTGGGTCCTGATTTCTGGAGTCTGAAATCCATTACCAATCTACTAAAGCCTTTAAAACGATTGGAACTACCAATCCCAGGAGGCTTTAAGGCAAGCGCCCGCCGCAGCCCCCCAGTTGCTTGCCGCGCAGCAAGCTGGGAGATGTAGTTTAACGGTCTGAGGCTGGATTCGGGAGAACGGGATGTCGAAATAGCAGGGCTGGAGTCCCAGCTTTCAGGTCCCGGCGCCCTCCTTTTCCCGCCTCACCCCAGCCGTCGTCAACGATCCACTCACCTAATCCCGGGCCTCGCCGCCACCGCCGACGTCTCCTCCACTAAACTTGGATGAACTTTCCGGAGTTTTAAGTTTGGCGCGCCTGCGCACTGGGCCGGACGGCAGACGCCCTACGTTAAGGGGCGGAGCGCTGAATTCTCATTTGCATGTGACGTTCCCAGCATGCCCGCGGCCCGGAAATCCAAAAAAGACCTGGCGGGGGGGCGGGGCCCAGCCCTTTGGCTCGGACCCGCCCCATTCACTCTACAGTCTGTCACACAAATAAGGAGAAAGTTGTTTGCAGGTCCAGAAATCGATTGGAAAGAACAGTTAGCTGCTCTAAGAGCTCTGCCCGCGGGAAGAATGTGCAGCTTCGAGCCTGGGGGCTGCCGGATTTCCGAGCCGGGTGCACCCGCGCCCCCGAGCGCCGTGGCCCTAGGTAACACGGAAGAACCCGGGGACTCGTGGGGGCCGAGGGCGAGAAACCGAGAGTGAACTTCTGTTCTGCTTGCTGGGCTAAGTGGGCTAAGGGGGGTCTTGCCTGCGGTCCGGGTGAAGTGTGGCAAGTGGGTGAGAAGAGGAAAGCCCCACCTGGCGCTTTAAGAAGTCGTGGGGTCGGAGCAAAGTGGCGGATCTCAGTGTCCCCCCGAAAGGAAAGGGGGCGCGCGCCGGAGCAGGAAGACCTGGTGTTTTGGCAGGAGTCTTGAAGGAACAGCACCGACTGTGTACGAATGGATCTGCGGGAAAACTACGGCCGTCCACACGGCGACCAGTGGGAGGGAGAGAGGTGGGGCGTGGGCACTGCAATAACTAGAAGGGAGGCCCCCCGCTGGAAATGGGGCTACGTGCAGTGGGTGCCGTGTGAGGGAGTGTTCCCTAGAGGAATAGAGGGCTGTAGGGTTTGCGCGGAAGTCTCGGGAGAGAGGGGCGAAGTAGTTTCGATTTACTGGAGAAATCGAGCTTTTTATCAACGGGTGCGGAAAGAGCTAGCCCGAGAGAGAGGAGAGAGAGGGGGGTGCGGAAACCTCCGGCTGGGAGTGGGCGCGGTGCTGACTGCCCATGCCTAGAAACTGCCTCATGTGCACAGGCCGGAGCATGGGAACCCCCAAGCCCCGGATTCTGCCCTGGCTGAAGTCGGCTCTGGACGAGGGCACCTTTGAAGGCGTAGCCTGGCTGGATGAAAGCCACACGCGCTTCCGCGTGCCCTGGAAGCACGGCTTGCGGCAGGACGCCCAGCCCGGGGACTTCAGAATCTTTCTGGTGCGTGTGAGCCCCGCCGCCCGCCAGGTCCCGGGCGCCGGAAAGCCGCGGGGCGCATGCCCGGGGCGGAGGATGTAGGGAGCACCCCCAGGGGCCGGGGGCGGGGCCTGCAGGTGGTGGCGCGGTGAAGTTAGGGGAATAGTCGAATAATCGGGAAAACCCGGAGGGGACACGAAGGGAATGCGTCCTCGGGCTCTCCGAGAATGCTGGAGGCGGGTATTGGAACTGTAGAGGCCGGACTCGGCTCCCGAGGTTACTTAACTCCAAATGAGCGAACGGCAATTGTGAGAGGGGCTGTATGCAGTGATTTCAAAAAGGGGAGGGAGAAGCAAGTGGTTGCTGGACCTGCAAAGAAAAAGTTTTGAAAGGTGGAAGCAAGCGGGACTTGAGGGGTGGTGATGGAGCGTTTGGGGGTGGGAGAGCCTTACCCGGTTAGAATGGACCCAAGCAGGACGGGGTTAGGACCCCCTGCGGGATCTCCATCAGCCTTCCCCACTGCCCCCATGCTCTGGGTTCCCAGGCCTGGGCAGAGGCCAGCGGTGCCTACGTCCCTGGGAGAGATCCGCCTGACCTGCCGACCTGTAAGAGGAACTTTCGAGCTGCTCTGAACCGGAAGGAGGGTCTGCGTGTCGTTGATGACCGGAGCAGGGATCCCCAGGACCCACACAAGATCTATGAGTTTGTGACCCCAGGTGTGCTCCATGGTGGGATGGGCTCCCCAGCACCCCAGCACCCCCTACTCCCCTCACCAGCGAACTCCACAGGAGCTGGGGACTCTTCAGAGATGGACAACTCTCCAGACTCCCAGGTAAGAATGCCCAGCAGGGAGGGCACTTGCGTTGTATTCAGCTGGCCAGGGTTTGATCCCCAGCACTGTCCCCACAAGCCCCACCGGCAGTGATCTCTGCAGGCTTAACCAGGAGTGGCCCCCAAACCACTGTAGGACTGTTCTCCCGTTGTTCACTGATTTGCTCAAGCGGGCACCAGTAACGTCTCCATTGTGAGACTTGTTGTTACTGTTTTTGGCATATCAAATATGCCACAGGGAGCTTGCTAGGCTCTGCCGTGCAGGCGGGATACTCTCGGTAGCTTGCCGGGTTCTCCAAGAGAGACGGAGGAATCAAACCCGGGTCGGCCACGTGCAAGGCAAATGCCCTACCCGCTGTGGGCTGGGCTTTATTCCCCCCCCCTTGATTTCCCCAAATCAAGGGGGGGAATAAAGAATGGAGCGTCCCCATGCCCACATTTCTCTCTCCTCTGCTCAGCCTCCCTTGCGGCACCACCCTCTGCTCCAGGTTGTCCTGGCTTCCAGCAACCTCAGCAGGAAATGCAGTTTTCCCCAGGCTACACCTTCCCTGTTCATCCCAGTCTTCCTAACTCTGGGGATTTCAGAGAACACCTTTCCCCCGCCACACCCCAATATCTTATCCCCAGCCCAATATTTTACTTTTCTTGGTATCAGGCCAAATCCCCTTTGTGTGTGTATATTTGCTTTTTATTGTTTTTTGGGTCACACCTGGCAATGCTCAGGAATTACTCCTGGCGGTGCTCAGGGAACCATATGGAATGCCGGGGTTGAATCCCCATCAGCCACATGAAGGCAAATGCCCTACCCACTGTACTATTGCTCTGTCCCAAATTCCCTTTGAAATCCTGTCATTCCTCCTGTGCCCTGGTGATCGGAGCATAAAGCTAGACCCAGCACCCACAAAGGGCAGTGGGGAGGTCTGGTTCTTTTCTGGGCCCTGGCACTGTGCCCTGGGCTGCACCTCTGTCGAAGGCTCCAGAAAAGGATATGAAGGGCTGAGTGTGCAGCCTTGCATGCAACCAGCCTAGGTTTGGTTCCTGGCATCCCATATCACCCCCTGAGTCCCACCAGGAATGATCCCGGAACGCTGGAGATGCAAAGTCCTGAGCACAGCCAGGTACCAGAAAAAAGCAAAATCAGAAACCAGAAAAGGATGTGGAAAGGCCCAGGCCTTTTGTTTTGTTCTTTTCCCCTTTCCAGGAAGTTCTGGTGTTACTGAACGGCCTGGGCTTGGCCCCTGAATATAGGGTGCCCTCAGCTCAGAACACGGCCCTTGAGCCCACCTTTCCGCCCTTAGATAACACTGCTTTCGAACCCTCTGACAACGCAGCCATGCCAGAGTTGGTGCCCAGAGATGGTATGTAGAGCAGAGGGGGTGGGCAGGGTGGGGAGGGGACACCTGCTTATCCTCTCCTTGTCCTGTTGCTGTTTCCACGCAGCCTGGGATTTCGAGGTGACGGCCTTTTACCGGGGCCGCCAGGTCTTCCAGCACACGTTCTCCTGCCCATCGGGTCTGCGGCTGGTAGGACCAGATGCGGGGGACGACGGGACACTGCAGGGACTGCCCGTCGCTCTGCCAGACCCTGGCAATTTCCTGACAGACCAGGTTGTGAAGGACTATGTGACTCGGGTGCTGGGCTCCCTGGGCCGGGGGCTATGGCTCTGGAGGGAGGGGCAGTGGCTCTGTGTCAAGAGGCTGGGTCACTGCCACACCTTCTGGGCCCTGGGGGACGAGCTGCTGCCCCCGGACAGCTGTGGACCTGATGGTGAGGTCCCCAAGGAGCCTGGAAAATATGTGTTCAACCTGAGGCCCTTCGTGGAAGGTGAGCAGTTCAGATTTCTGCTGTGTAACCACCGGGGCATGGAATCCAGGTCCTGCTTACTCAGGCTGTCGGTTCAGGCTTTGGCTTTGTAGTCACATGGATTTCAGGTCCTCAGTGCTCAGGCTGTCAGGGCTCAGGCCTATAGCCCTTCTTCTCTCTCTCTCTCTCTGCCTTTGCTTCATTGCTTGCTGGGTGGGTGCAAGTTGGATGGCGCCTTAGGGGCTTTGCAGGAGTCCCTCTAGCCCCCACTGGGGGAGTGTAGACGGAAGGCAAAGTACCAGGAGAGTTTGCATTTACTGCCTAAGGGCAGTTCTTGGCTCCTGGCTGCAGAGTAGACGGTGAGCAGGGACCCTCAGCAGGAACTTGAGCAGGGTGACACAGAACCCCCCAGATGGGAGGCTTGGGGGAGGAAGGGGTGGATTTTGCCCTCCCTGGGGTGAGGAAGGGAAGGGAGGCTGAGTGTGGGTGTGAATGGGATTTTTCCCTGGTCACAGCACCCAGCTACCTGGGGTGCAGCTTCAGATCAAGGGAGAAGGCTGGCACCCAAGCATGGGGATAGGGGGCAGGTAGAGGGTCCTTTGCCCCCACCCCCACCCCTGAACAGGCTCTTGGTTCCTAGGTCTGATCGACTTCATCAATGGAAAGCCAAGCTCGCCACACTTCACCCTCTGGTTCTGTATGGGGGAGTTGTGGCGCCAAGAACAGCCATGGACCAAGAGGCTGGTGATGGTCAAGGTGCCCGAGGGCCTGGATCTGGGGGAGGCGGCGGGGGGGGGGGTGGCTCTTCCTGAGGGAGAGGAGGCCCCACGCCCAGAGCTCCAGCTTCTCAGGCGTGATTTTGACCTCTCGAGGGGCGCAGACCCCCGGCAGCCTCAGCCCAAGGAATCTCCAACCACAGGGCAAGTGCCACTGCCTACGGCCACGGATGTGAACAATTTGTGGGGGGTGTTGAGGGGTGCTGCTGGCAATGGTCACCAACGGGGTGTCTTGCTGCCTCCTGTAGGTTGTCCCCACGTGCCTTAAGAGCCTTCTAGAGATGGCGAGGGAAGGGGGTGCATCCTCGCTGAACGCCGTGGAACTGCACATCTCTGACCAGCCCCAGCCACTGGCCCTGTCCTCGGACCAGTACAGGGCCTACCTGGAGGACATGCTGGAGGACATGGAACAGTAGGGCCCGGTCTGGCACAGCAGGACCCCAGCCGGCCAACTCTGGGTTTCCATTAAAAATCACTTTGCCTTTCTTTGTAAGGAGAATCTTTTCCTCATCTCCCCCCACGCCTCCACCCCTTCTCCACCCTTGGGCAGGGAACCTTAGTTCTGTTCCGTATCCCAGTGCACTGGCTGCTTTTTATTCTGTCTTTTGATTTCAGTTTTTGGGAGCCCAGGAAACCCCTCTGCTGTTTTCCTTTCTTGCGAGGCCCCTCAGAGAGGCGTGTTCTGCTTTGCAGCACTGAGCCACTGCCCCGGCCGTTTTTTTGGTCTGTTTTTTTTTTTTTATCACGCCTGGCAACGCTCAGATTTTGCTCCTGGCTCTGCGCTCAGGAATTACCCCTGGTGGTGCACAGAGGATCCTACTGATGCTGGGGATCAAACCCACATTGGCCGGGTGCTAGGCGAGCACCCACCCCGCTGTGTTATCACTGTGGCCCGGTGACCTTTGCGGCCTGGTGACCTTTATCTTTCCTCCCGGTGTGCAGCCTCAGCTTACACACAGCACACAAACGCCCTCCACCTGTCTCAACCCCTTCCCATTTCCTCCAGAGGGTTTGTTTACCCATCACAAGGGGCTGCAGGGGCCACTCTCCTGGACATCCCCTCTCTTCAGGGACCTTGCAAAGAGGCAGGGCCCCTATTTCACAGGTGAGCCCCAAGTGAGTCTCAGGAGCATACAGGGAGCAGCGGGCCTGGTCAGGAAGCAGACACTCCACTGTTATGACTCTCCCACGGGGGGATTTCACCTTGTTCCTCTCCAACTGTGCTCGCCCACTCTTCACTGAGCTGGATTCTGGGGAATGAAGGCTGAGGGGGAGGCCAGCGGCCCTGGCTGCAATGTGCCTCAGTTTTCCTGTCATGAGGGTGGATCAGGTTCCCCATCCCTGACTCACAGAGCAACAAAGAACCTGTTTCTGGGTTCAAGGGAGAAGCCCTCAGATGCCCCAAGTACTGTGGAGACGGAGACCCTGTACGCCCCAGCCCAATCCTCTACCTGCCTGGGTCCGACTCTGGTCTCGTCTGCACTGCGTGAGACAATGGGCCAGAGAGGCCCCTTGCAGCCTGGTCTCCCTGCCAAGGGGCTGAGGGGCCCCAGCCCAACAGGACCTGGTTCTGAAGACAGAGGGCGCAGGAAAGGGGAACATTTCATGAAATCTTTAATGAAACAGGGTGGGGGCACGAACAGAGGGACATGGGGCTAGGTTTGGGGACCAGGGTGCTGGGCAGAGGTGGGTGGGGTGGGGCTCTCCTCTTCCCCCTGCAACTCCCCAGATCATCCCGCTGACAGGGGAGGGTGGTGCAGAGGCCGAGCCATAAATATGTCCAGAATTCCAAGGCGGCAAAGGAGGGATGGGGCGGCAGGGCTCAGAGGGGGGGCAAGGGCAGGCCTGGACCGCCCTTATCAGGGGGTCCTGGCTCCTTAGGTGGCCGGGGGGGCCCAGGAGGGTCCCCTGGCTTGCGGCCGTGCTTGCGAAAGTAGCGGTAGCGCTGGACGTAGGCCCGTACCAGGTTGCTCACCTTCACCGGGTTGATCTCCCCACTCTTGCTGTGGCAGATCTGGGGGGTAGGGTGGGGGGAAGCTGTGGTCAGCGATGGCCGTGGGGGCAGTCTCCCCCCCAACATGCCTGGGCTTACCTTGTGCACAGCCTTCCGCAGGATGTCCTTGTACTCGTCCTTGGTGATGTCCTTCTTCTGGTAGTACGGCTTGATGGCCAGTTTCACCTCCTCCACCGCCCGCTCTTGCGTGTGCAGCTTCTTTAGGTACTGTGTGAGGCACAACAGCAGCCCGCTGACACCCGCGGGGATCCTGCCTCTGGGGCAGTCCTGTCCTGTGTACACTCACCCCAAACCACAGGCCCTGATGCTCCCCCAGGTGGCCATGGCCAGGACAAAAGAGGCCCAACTCTAAGCAGGTCAGCATGGATGCTGGTCGAGACACTGGCCTAGCTGTGCTGAGGACACAATCAACCCCGAGGAGCTCTGAACAGCACCAGGGCCCTGGCATACTGGCCAGGGAGTGACCCCTCTCTGGCTGGCCTGGGGACAGTCCCCAAAGGGAGGATGTATAAGGTTGCCAGTGGAAAGCCTATCCAGAGAGTGGAAGCAGAGTAACAGTGGAGGGACAGGATGAGGAGCAGTTGAGAGACCCCAGAGCTACTTCACTGAGAGGAAGGGAAGGGCCTGAGTGATAGGACTAGGGGAGCAGACATTTGCCTAGCACAAGGTGGACCTGAATTCCATTCCCGGCACCCCATGGGGTCCCCTGAGCCCTGCCAGGGGTGATCTCCCAGCATGGCCAGATGTAGCCATAAAACTCCCCCGCCGCCCACCAAAAAAAAGAAAGGGAGATACCCAAAAAGCAAGCCCATGAGCACTGCACACTGCTGGGTGTGACCTGAAAAGCCCTTCCTGTGGCAAAGGATACGGCCCCAAACTCCTGTGTCCATTCAGATCCAGTGCTGGGCAGGCAGTGCCAGGATGGACCCAGGGCCCCCCCCACATGCAGGGACCATGCACCTGCTGCTGTGGGGCTGTGTCTGGGGAAGCCACGGGAGCCTGGGAAGCAGAGCCATGACGAGGGGAACCCTGCGGTGAGGTACCCGCTCACCTGGTGCCGCCTCTAGCTTCCATGGGCCCCAAAGGAAGTGAGTTTCCTCAGAGAAAAGGGTCACAATCCATGGCCCTCCAGGTGTGGCAAAGGACACAGCCATTGCCACCACCTCTGGGGGTTGCACTGGAAACCCAGAGCAAGTGCCCCTCCTCATTGGGCCTTCCTGGGGCTGATGGGGGAGTGTGAGGGTGTGTGACGCCAACACCCCTAGCAAGTTGCTGGGCAGACGAGGCAGCAGCTAGAACTCGAACCAAACACAGGGCACCGAGCCTGACCAGACACAGGAGCTGTGGAAATGGTCTGGCCTGGCCCAGGGGTGTGGGGACAGGGGCCCAGGGGCAGAAGACAGTGGAAACTCATGTCCTTAACAGCTGAGGAGTTCCTATTAGGTTATATTTTTGGGGGGGGTCACACCCAGCAGTGCTCAGGGTCACTCCCAGTGATACTCAGGGCACCGTGCACAGTGCCAGGGATGGAACCAGGGCTGGCTTCCATGTGCAAGGCAAGTGCCATAACCTTTGCACGATCTCTTCACCCGAGACTCTGGATGTGACCTCAGACACACCTCCAGGACTCAGCCTCGGCCACTCTCCCTGGGCACTGCTAGCCTCGTGAATGTCCCTGTTCTGTCCTAGCATTTGGGCTGACTACTGGTGGTGCTTGGGGGACCGCATGGGGTGCCAGGGAAACCTGCTGTGTGCAAGGCCGGTGCCCTACCTGCTGAACCATAGCTCTGGCCTTGTCCCCGTCTTCTTGCCGAACCGCCACCATCAGCCAACCATTCCCCGGCTTCACTCACCTTGTCCGTGTCTCCTCGTCCCTCGGAGCTGCTGCTGCCTTCCCTCTTGTCAGATGCTGCGGCCAGCCCGGTGGGGGTGGGAGGGGTGGAGCCGCAACCCCCCAGGGGAAGGCTGCCAGGGAGCAAGTAGCTGGAAGGACCAGGGGGGAGGCCCAGAGAAGTGGGCACAGGCGCAGGTGTCACCAGGCCAGAGGGGGGCTTCCTGTGACTGAGGATCTGTGGGAAGGCAATGGAGGGAAACTGAGTCAAGAGAGGAAGGAATGAGTAGCCTGCATTCCCAGCAGCCTCTAGCCGAGACTTTGCTCCATGGCCTAGCTGGAGCGTCCCCCCAGGGAAACCGACCTGGTTGGTGGCCTGGATCAGCTCCTGGGCCTTGGCTCGGCTCGCCAGGTTGGCTTCTTCCATCTTGAAGAGAAGTGCGGTCACTGCAGAGGCCAAGAACCGATGGGGGAGATGGGGAGTCGACGGGAAAAGAGATGGGGGTGACCGTCAGGGCCACAGGCCTGTCCTCAGGCCTCTGGGGGTATGTGTGTGGGATAGGAACGCGGCCAGTTGGAGCAGGAGACTCCAGCTCACCCATTTCTGACCCCTCCCCGCGACATGGGCCTCTGGCTGGCAGGGGAGCTTGAGGGTCCCCATCCTTCCATCTAGAACCCTCTGCACACAAGCCTGCAGCCTGTTCCCACCGGCTCCTTTCTTGCCCATCTCTCTCTGTCTGCCCAAGTCATCCCCCCTGCCTCCCCCCTGCAACCAGGCCCCCACTCACAGGCCAGGACGCCACTGGTGGTGCAGTCCACGCCCGCAGGCAGGTTCCAGGGCATGGGCGGGGGGAGCGTGGGGAGCTGGGGGACGCGGGCTGCTGGCCCATCCTCAGTGCCTGAATCCCCAGTGGTGGAGCCGGCACCGGGGGCAGTGCTTGGGGCGGCAGCGGCCGTGCTGGTGGCCGTGCTGGTGGCCGGCTGCTGCTCCAACTCCTCCTCCTCCTCCTCTTCCTCCTCGTCCTCCTCCTCTTCCTCTTCCACCCCACCACGGCCTCCAGTTTCCTCAGCAGCCTCCTCAGGCAGGAAGGAGACCTCAGGGGTCTTGCAGCTGCTATCCACCGTCTGCGAGTCCGGTGTGAGGGCGGGCGGTGGGGGGGCTGTCTTGGGGGGTGGGGTGCTCGGGGCCTTGGCCCGCTCCTCCCCAGACCACGTCTCCTCGGAGCCCTTGTGGCCTGTGGCCTGGCTGCAGCTGTCTGCCCTGGACTTCTTCAGCGTCCCGGGCCCGCTGCCGGTGCTGCCGGGGGCACTGCGCACCTTCTTCCGTGTCTTTGACGGCTTGGTCTTCCCCTTGGTCCCCTTGGCTTTCTTGGCCGCGGCCTTTGCCTTGACCTTGGTCTTCTTGGGCTTGGTGCTACTGCCAGGTGTGGCCTTGGCCACCTCCGCTGGCGTCCGCTCATCGGGCTTGAGGAAGGGCGAGCGGCTCTCCCGGTCCCGGCTGAACTTGACTCCGATGGAGCCCAAGCCGGCCCCGGAAGCCTCCTTGGCGGGTGTGGTACTGCTGACGCCCTCACGGATGAGCACTGCCACCTTAGACTGCAGCTTCACCTTCCGCGAGGACGACGAGGACGATGAGGAGGA